ACTCTATTAAATAAATCTCATTCATTCATTCAAATAATACTTATTGAATAGTAAATATATGCCAACTATTATTTGGGATATCTTTCCACTTCATATTGTTTTTGATACTTTCTTTTTTGTGATGAAGCCAGATGGAAGGAAAAAGAGGGAGTTCTCTTTCACATCTAAAAAGAAAAATATTTAAGAAATAAATTTGAGGTTTTTTTTTTTTTTTTTAACTTTTATTCACAGAGAGATCGTCAGAGAAAATGGAAATGATTTCACGTGAGTGGTCAAGAATTTCCTACCATGATTAGCTCTTGCTTTCTTACCTATAAAACACGGATGATTTTGTGGACTTCCAAGTAGGGAATGGGCTGAGCAATGGCAGTGGAGGCAGACTGACAAAGTTTGAATTGTGGCTTCACAATGAGATGGATTGGTGATTTCAGGCAATCTCCCTGTGTCTTACTTTCTTCAGCTGTAAATGATAATCGCAATAATGCCTAATTCTCAAGGCCGTGTGAAGAGTAAATAAGGCAATGCATTAAGGCCTTATGTACCTGGCACATGTTAAGTGTTCAAGAATGCCAGTTGTAATGTTTTTAAGGAATGTTCCAGTAAGTGATAAATAAAGCATTAAAGTAAGCAAGTTGCAAACATCACAGACCATGTCTTCTTTATTCACCATTCCATCTTAAATGTATATCTCAGTGCTTGGCACAAAGTAAATATTAAAAAAACAAAAAACAAAAAAAAAAATTTATTGAACACATAAAAATTAATAAGGATGAGCAAACCATCTCCCAGGTTCTCTTCCTAACCTTGCAAATGTCTAGTGCTCATCTCACCCACTGTGCTCAGCTGCAAGAACTTGGAACAGTCACCGTCCTAGATCTCTTTTGTGAAATGAAACAATGATACAAAAGAGCTATAAATTAGAATTGATAATCTTAATCTACTGCACTTTTCGGAAAAAGGATGTTAAAGACCTTACAAGAGAATTTGAAAATAATCAACAAACTTGAAAATAATCAACAGTATGGAGATACTACGAAGTTGCTCTATTATGGTTTTAACATTTTCAAAGAAAAAAATTACTGGAGATTATTTGTTTCATCAAAAAGGGCAGTGCAAATCATTGGCACTAATGCCATCACTCAGGGATGTGTTAGCTTTCCCTAAGAGCTCTGCAGACAGGGAAGGAGAGTAAAGTTGGATAAAGAATTATTAATGTGCAAACAAGAAGAGTAAGTTCTGGAGATCTAAAGCATAGCCTAGTGATTACAGTCGATAATACTGTACTGTATTATATACTTCAAAACTGCTAAGAGACTAAATCATAAATATTCTCACCCCAAAAAGGAGATGACATGATAGAGGTCTTAGCTGCAGTTATGGTGGAAACATATTGCAATATATGAATGTATCAAATTAACAGCTTGTATACTTTAAACTTGACAATGTTATATGTAAATTATATCTCAATAAAGACAGAAAAAAAGAGTAATTAATAGTCTTGCAGTTATACATTAAGACTTTTTCAATATATGTATGCTTGTGTGTGAAAGAGAAAAGTTTGACTCATTTACAGGCAGTGCAATTGAAGTGACTAAAGTCTTCGGAGTCTCAGTTTCTCTACCTATCAAATGGGATAATAATACCTACTCCACTGGGACTGTCACAAGCATTACATGAAATAACCCAGCAAAAGACCAAGTAAGAAGCAAACTTGCAATAAATAGTAGCAATTAATATAATAATAACAACCAGTATTGCAATTACTTACAGAAAACCACTTATTTACAAATGTTAATAGCATTGAGAGTAATTCTTTTGGCTGATACTAAACAGCATGTAAGTTGGCCGGATGGTTTTAGATATGCTAATCTAGCATCTAGAAGAGACAACAGGCAAAGAAAAGTATGCCTGCTAGGTAACTCTTGTTGTGAAGTGCTGGATGGTGACTTGGGGGAAAAATTAATATTTAAACTTAGAGAAAGAGTTGGGTCAGAAAACAAGAACATGCAAAGGTAGTATACAACAGCAGTTAAATTACTACCTTAGCTGTGTAACCTTACTTAATTTCTCTAGGCCTTAGTTTTCCCACCTGAGAAAATGGAGAACAATGTTTTAGAACAAGCCTGGAATACAGTGTATGTTAAATAAATTAGAACGGTGATAAGAATGGCTAAAGTTACAGAGAATGGCCTGTGAGGAAACCTCTAGAGCAGTGGTCCCCAACCTTTTTGGCACTGGGGACCGGTGCTCCTATGAGAATCTAAGGCCTGATGATCTGAGGTGGAGCTGAGGTGGTGATGCTAGTGCTGGGGAGCGGCTGAAAATATGATACATTCATATATTGAAATATATTTACCACCATAGCTTTGCTTGCTCACCTGCTGCTGACTTCCTGCTGTGAGGCCTGTTTCCTAACAGGCTGAGGGGTTGGGGAATCTTACCCTAGAGTAAGTCTGGCAAAGTGGCCTCCTAGGAGCACAACCTGGAAAGCTATCAGGCTCATGTGACCATTCAACAAATTGGGCTTCTCCTATGTGCAATGTGAGGTGCAGTAGCTATAAAAAGAGTTGATTCATATTTGAAATGCCAGAGATGAACCAGAGGCTAAAGCAGGAGGGAGCCCCAGGGAGACTGGGAGTAACCGAAGCATGCACATAGATAACATGATGCCCCTTCCTATGGGCTTCCACGGCATTCTGTAATTATTTCACAGCATCCTAGGTGCCTGTTAATTACATACAAGCGTCTCTCATGGCAGCACTCCGTGAGGGTGGAGACCGAATGCCCCTTCTACAGTGCTCAATACGGATGTGTTGAAGTGAAGCCAAAGTGAGTAATAAGATGGGGTCTGTAATTGTTAAACACTCAGTACTTGGGTCCCCACCTGCTCCCTACCCCACTTTCAACCCTCCACACTGCTCTAAATAAAATAGCTCAATGTTAACATGTGGGAGGGGAGACTATAATCCCAAGAACATGGTCCTTTGAGTAAAATCCTAGTCTTCTTTGTAGTGGTGGCCTAAAACTACTCAGTGGTAAAATTGGCTAAGAAGCCTCTGCTGAGGGATATCTTCCATTCACTCTTCTCGGTCCATTCACACACACCTCAAAACTGGCACAAACAAAACTGAACTCCGCAGTTCAGCAAATGTGCTGACTTTTTTCTTCTTTCTTTTTCTATAGCCATTCATCTACCAAATTCTTTTCTGTGTTTTCCTTGAGAATCTCTCTCTCATACAGCCCTCTCTCTAATCTCTCAAGCACTGCTTCTGAATCACACCTGGATCACCAATTTAGAGTCTTACTGAGATTCTGCCTCCATATCATTGTAAGATAGACCTTCCTAAAGTACAAATTTCATCATATTTCTTCCCTGCTCAAAATCTATGCTCCTTATTTTTTTTTTTAACTTTACCTAACCTACTTTAGTTATCAAGATCCTCCATGTTTTGGTCCTACTATATAAAGTACGTATTACTTACTTATTCAGGTCTGCGTGCAGAATCTCCTATTCTACTTAGATTAGTTACCTCACAGCACCAATCATTGAAATTGTTCTCTCATTTAAATACAATATATAAAATATTTGCTTCTATATACTTTGGCCATGTCATTCCCACTTTTGGATTATCCTAATCCTTTGGCTATGCAAGTGTTAACTCTTCAATTAACATTCTACTCTAAGCCACATATGTCAGTACTAATTTATAATTTTATTATCTTGTGTTTGATTTTCTGTTTCCTATGCATATGCACAAGTGTTCCTTCCTCAACAAAACTATAAACTGATCGAAGGCAGGAAGTTTACATTATCTTTACCCATTTACCCAACAAATATTCCTTGAGTTCCAGCTCTATTTCAGGCACTGCACTTGGCTTTGGGGTGCAGCAGAGAATAAAACAGACATCATCCCAGTCCTTGAAGCACATGCATTCTAGCATGTGTGTGCATATGTGTGTGTGTGGGGGGGGCAACAAGATAAAAAATTACACATAATTATATGATTAGCAACCTGAAGTAAAAGTATAGGGTGCTGTGAAACCATGTTGAAAAAAAAAATGCCCCAGAGCTAAGAAGAAAAGGGTAAAAGAAACAAACAGGCAAATGTCTAAAAGTCTTTAAGCCTGGAACCTTAGAGGAACTGAAGAAAGGTTGTATCTATAAGTATACTGGGCAGAAGATGAGCCTTATCAGATGAGGCTACTGAGATACAGGCTGAGTGTACTTCCTAGCACTGAACCAGAATCGAGAAATACTTGTTGAATGAGGACTCTAGGTGGTCTTTAAGAATCATAATGTAGGATGGCAGAAGTCATTTCTGAACTTCTGTTGTCTGTGTATGTGGAGTTCAGAAAAAAATGCTGAACACCCAAAGCTTAAAACATATGAACACTCAAGTGCTTAGGATTTTTGTTAGTTTTCTCAAGTTCAGTGAAAGGAATGAACCAATGACAACTATAATATGGGCTGTAGTCTACTCCATGTTACAAGTTCGATGCCAAAATGCTTTACACAGGCCACCTGATAACAGGTGTATTTCGGCCATTACCAATGCGAGTATGATCAAGCCAACGAGCCCAGAAGTGAGAGGTGGTATATTCAATGACAAATTCCCACTAAATAACAGGTGTATTTCGGCCATTACCAATGTGAGTATGATGATCAAGCCAACGAGCCCAGAGGTGAGAGGTGGTATATTCAATGACAAATTCCCACTATCCTTAAGTGTTAAGATGCCTAAAGTGATATATTTTATTTGCATCAAGATGCACTGTATAAGCTATACTTGATAAAAGAGATGACTTCACGTTCTCAACTTAAAGAATGCTTACTTAAGTATTTTTAAAATTGAATCCCACTTTAATGCCATTGCATAATCTTTTGATTAACAGTGCTCATCTTGGTTATTCTAACAAAAGAGAAACATGGAAATTAATACTTAAGTTGTAGAGATTATGTCACATATGAAAATATACATTAGGAAATTCAAAACAGATACCTGGGACATCTGTGAAGGTTTCTCCAAGGACAGATACGTGGAAATTGAGTCCTAGGTCCTTAAGATGCATTAATACCTTAAAAAAACTCTCTGGATCTTTATCATGCTCCCTGTAAATAAAAACACAAAACATAACTTGTGATATCTTAGGGTGTGTGTTAGGAAGAGTGTTGTCACTCCTCACAATATCAATTCCTTTCGTGGTCTAGTGTTAGTTAGGAGAGACACTAGCGTCCAAGCAGAGATTTCCCCTGATCAATAATATTGTAGCAACAGCACTGAGTTTTTTTCATAAATACAATTTCTCTGTCATGTATCAAAACCCAGTTCTACTGAAGTCATAATGCTCTGCAGCCTATTATTAAAAGAGAAATCTATCATGTTTTTCACATTTTTGGGGTAGGCTGTAGAAACTTTAGTGTATTTTCCTTTCTTTTAACATAGTTAATTTTCCACTTAACAGAGGTTTTTAACAAAAGAAAATACCAGTCTTCAAAGGATGATTCTCTACTAATCATGAGACTGTACCAAAGAAGCTTTTCATTTCCTTGAGTGTGAATACCATCCTCTCACAATTACTGAGCCCCTTTGTATCCAGAAGAAACGCCCAATTTAAGGAGTGAGATTATACTCTCTCACTAAACTCTCATTTTAAATAATTGAATGGAGAATTATAAATACATCAAGAGGGGGTAGGCATGACTCTAAGTCCAGTGAGTATTAACTTAGGAGTAGAGGTTAGTCTACATGTAAAAGAATAATAATCATAATAAAAATAATTCATTTAGTAGAGTCTTTGACAAACATGGATTATTTTTATTTGTTTAGCTTGTCAGTCTTCTTTGTAATGACAGAATGAGAGGCTAAAGGACATTCAAAAAAATTCAACAATTCAAGAAATCACATTAAAATGGAATGAGTTATTTTTTACATTCTAAGGTGTGAATATTCCAGTATTACTTGCATTTAATTACACTGTTTTAATTATCTTATTTCAGGCAGATGTGGACCAGATGTCTTCAAAATATTTGTTTTTTTATTTATAATTCAGAATTTTAACTTATTTTCTATATTACAGAGAAATAGTTATATATCAGCAATTGAATTTCTCATTTACCAACTAATTATGTAAAATAAATCTGTAAATTGATCAAACTGCTATATGAAATATGAAAATTACATCATTCAGGAAATCTCATGAAAAATGACATCTGCAACCCTAAATGTGTTAATTCACAATTCAGTCAATATTTTCAGTATCAAGAATTAAAACAAATGCATCTTCTGATTAACATTTTAAAACAGCATTTCTAATCTCATGGAATTGTAAATTCTTATAGAATTAGAATTCAGTAACTATTTATTTTAAGCTCTATATCTCTCAGTCTGATTTACTTCAAATAATAAAGAATGCAATGGCAAAGTGCTCAACCCTTTTTAAGATGATGTGGATTACATACACATACCATAGGGAAGTTTTTGGATAGTTCTCATATATACCACTGCTGTGGGCAAAAACAAAAACTCAAAACAGTTTGAAAGTAAAGAATATGCCATATGCTATCTCCAACTATACCAATCAAATAGCTGCCATTTAATCTGTAGTACGTCCTTTCAGTATGATTCTCTTGGAAATACTTAGATGAAAAGAATGGGAACAATATAACATAACATATCTTAAAGAGGGAGTTAACACTATAGCGAAACGTAGCCAGGCGGTTCTCTAAATTTTTCATTTTGACTTCCCAAAACTTTGGCTATGGATCCACGGAAGAGAATATCTATTCTGAATATTTCTTGCTGTTCTTTTTTGTTTGTTTGTTTGTTCGTTTTGTATTAAAGTAAAAGTAGATGTGGTTTGGGGTTGGGAGAAAGTTTAATTGAATAGAAGCTGTAGTTCTTAAAAGATTCCAATGTGAGTATTTTCAAAGCAGCAGGTTTTATGAACCTGTATTTTCAGTGTTTCTACATGAGATAAATACATTACAATCCTACCGTGTTTTTTAGAAATTTTTTTACAGGTGGACAAAAGCTTTCATATTCAATAGTCACTTCTTTGCATAAGAACACCAAGGAGATTTGTATGAATCTCCTTTTTTGTTGTTGTTTAAACTATATAGTACATGGACAAATGTAAGGTGACATTTTTCTTTCCCAAAATTATCCCTGAGAAAAAGAGGCATTCTATACCAAAGTCCTTATCAGATCTCTCATAATACTAGGCACTCTCTCAATTACTTTATTTGGAAAAAAGTACTGTTTAGGGAAGTTGCATTAACCTAAACCAGTGTCCACTGATAAGAGTTTAGGATGGTTCTAGCTATCATTCACTTGGTGGGACTGGTAAAAACAAAAGCAATGGAATTTAATACTGAGTTAGTAATTATTTTGGGAGGCATGACCTAACAGTTTAAAGTGTTAGACTTTGTTGAAAACAAGCATTTTAAAGATCACTAAAAAAGGTAAGACTGGTTACCAGGATCATGAGTACTAAGTGGGTTTTTATAGCTGGGGAAAAGATTGCCAGTGATGGCATCATGCACAGTTTCACAAGTCTTGCACCTCAAACCGCTCAGACTGAATTCCAGATGACAGCGGATGGAAACATGCCAGCTGCTTGAAAAGGTGGCATCATTCTGATGTCAAGAATCCATGAGGGGGGCATTGGATTAAAACTGCTTGATGAAATACAAGAGTAGGAAAAGAGCAATGCTTCTAAAAATATTCTATATGACATGTGCTTTAAAGCAGTGGTCCCCAACCTTTTGGCACCAGGGACCAGTGCTCCTACAAAAATCTAATGCCTGATGTTCTGGGTGTGGAGCTGAGGTAGTGATGCTAGTGCTGGGGAGTGGCTGCAAATAAAGATGAAGCTTCACTGGTTTGTCTACCACTCACCTCCTGTTGTGTGGCCCAGTTCCTAACAGGCCACAGATCAATACCGGTCTATAGCCCCGGGGTGGGGACCCCTGCTTTAAAATATTATTTCTGTCTAAATTAGTAGATTGCATATTATGATGCCTGAATATTTCTTCTGTGTCCCTCAAAGTTTACATACTTAATTTAACTAAAAGTTTTCTTAGTTTTCTCTTTAGGAAAATGGGAAATTGTCTAACATTCAGACAACCATTAAAGATGTGCACAAATATTTAGCCACAGCCATACATCAAGGCATGGATATGTCAGTGGTAGAGCTCAGTATTTTATGAAGAGTGAGGAACTCATTTGAGATATCCAGTGGATCATCCATGGATTGTATGTCAGCACTCATGATATTAATGAACCCATTTAACAGAATATGTGAGTCTCTCTTAAATTCTTTTCTAAGAAATCTAATGTGAAGCTCTCATAATTATGATTTTAGCATAAAGCATTAAATTTAAGATAAGGGACTTAAAGTAATATATTGAGTGCCCCTGTCTGGCAACAGCTGTCAAGCTTAAATACACATTTTATAATATATTCAATTTTCTATTGTAGTCTTATGGGCTCCCTAAACACTCCTCTGCTCTCATCCATTGCTGGTAGGAATGTAAATTGAAATAATATTTGAGAAGGCAATTTGGTAAGGTACATAATAAGCCTTAAAATGTATATAATTTTTGCCCCGGTAATTCCAATTTAGAAAAGTTACCCTATATAACAAGGAAGTGCACAGAAATCCAGCCAGAGTATGTTCATAACAGCATTGTTATAATGGCAACCATGTGTAAACAACCTAATAGGATGATAAGGAAATATATTTTGACATATATATAAATGATGCAATATCATGCAGCCATAGTGTTGTAGAAGGGAATTTCTTAACTTGGAAAAATATTTGAGAAGTACTGTTAAATAAAATGGAGGTGACAGAGTAGTATGTATTATATGATCTATTTTGTAAGACAAATGAATGAGTGTGCCTAGAAAAAGTTTGGGATGAACTATACCAAAATGTTCACAGGGTTTATTTCTAGGGGTTGCATTATAAATGCTTCTTTTTTTTTTTTTACATGCTTTCTATCATTTTTAAACAAACTTTTAAAATATAAATAATTTTAATATTTTAAGGAACTGCCTAACATTCTGCCATAAAATTATATTCATAAGATATTTGCTTAACTATGTAACATTTTCAGTTTTTATAGTAGTATAATTCCTCATTTCCTGTGATTCCCCACTCTGTTTGACAGCTGCCCATCAAGCTAACTTGGTTCATCATAAAACATTTTAGAAGATGAGTCAGAGTCCAAGCTTCCCAACAATTCTTAAATTCTTGACTAGGTAAGAATGAAACAGTCTGGCTGGGAACTCCTTACTCCACAGCCCAACTATAGCAGAAGAGACCAGCTCGGAAATATTTCAGGCTTACTGGAAGCAGCAGATACAGCAAGAACAGCTTTTATTCCCAAATATTATTCAGAACATTTGAAAAGCATAAACTGTTTCCATGTGTTTTTTCTTCCTATATCTGTTCTCTCTCTGTTGCCTTTCTCGTTTAGCTTTTTTAGAGCTAAATTTCTTCTTATTCCTCACTTAACATTCATTCAGTAAATATTTATTGAGGATTGCTAAGTTCTCCATACTTGTCACTTACACTCAACTGTTACTCTTTCCTATTTTCCCATATAACTTTATACTTATTGAATGCAATCTCTTTGATCTAGTTACTTGCCTTGCCTGGACAGAAACCTGGCTCTTTACAGATACTACAGCTTTCCCAGCATCTTGTCATTCTGGACTGACTGAGAGCTCCATGAGGGAAAGATAAATTGTCTCTGGTTTGTTCACTACTAATTACCCAGTGCTTTGCCAAGTAGTGGCAGACATTACTCGTGTTTAATAATATCTGGTTCTTCTCTCATTCTTGGTACACAGGTGACTCCTCATTCATGCCCTTGAAGTAGGGGAGGCCACAGGACTTGTTCTGACTAATGGACTGCAAGCTGATTGACGTGTGCCATGTCCAGGTAGAAACAGTTAAGAGCAGTTTTGGATCACACTGTCTCTGCTGCAGTGATCCTTAGAGAGGTCTTACTTTAACCTGAGATGTTTAGGTTAAAAGAGTAAGGCAGTCCAGATTGCTACATGGAGACTTACCTGTAAAGCTACCTAAACATGCAGCAGA